TGAAAATGCCAAATCAAATTTTCATTAGTTAAGACAATGAAAACTGCTTGTAATAAGCAAGATGTTTGAATAACATTACCTATATTTAATACATATAATTTACTGAAATTTCTACTGAATATATTTTCAACAATTTTAATTTATATATGAAATTATAAAATTTACCCTACTATTAAAAGAACCTACTGAAATTACTTACATGAAACAGCATTCAAAATGTACATACTTGCTGCCAAAGCTTTGAAGAAAGTCAGAAGCTGCTTGGACCTCTGATGGAGGTCCTCTGATGTGCAAGCCCAGCTTGGAGAGCAACAGCCTCTCCAGCAGGTGCAGAGAAAATATGTCCCTTATTCAGTTTATTTGAGTGGTTCAGTCCAATACGCAGTTTGTTGAGAACAGAGGAACTGCTTGGCAGATGATCCCTAGTTTGCTTCTTGCCAGCCCACGGCAAAGAAAGGCGTGAGACGCCCACGGAGCACACAGGCACCCGGCTGAGGTTGTTCCCAGGAGGACACGTACCTGGGGGTGTCCCTGCCGCTCCCAGGAGCCAGGGGTGCGCGCTGCCGGCCGGCCCCCGGGAGCCCACGGCCGGCGCTGGAGGCAGGCCGAGCCCGGGCTCCCGCACCCAGGGGCCATGCGGAGATGCTCAGCGAGCGCTCCCAGAGCCAGCCAGCTGAAGAGGACCAACCCATGCTGGCACGTTTCCCTAAAGCCAGCCGGCACCAGGGGGTGGAGGCTGCTTTCTGGCTTCCCCAAGCCTGGAGCACAGTTAATAACATGCCAGCTGTATCTGCAGACAAGCCAAGTTTAATGAGGCTACAACAAAAGCATTCAAATATGTGCTACAGAACTTCTGTGGGGATTTTTTTCTAGAGCTTGTTTTAAAAAAATGAAAGATAGGGATTCTTGACAATGTTTGTACACACACTTCCTTCGTTTTTAATTGATTTTTTTTTTTAAATTATATGCCGCAAATTCAAAGAAATCAACATTAGAAAGACTTGTTTAATCCCACTACTTCCAACAGCAAAATTATGCTGTGTGATGAGTGCTTGAAATGCACTGCTGGTTGCTTTTTTCTTAATAAACATTGAAGTCTTAATTGTTTTTCCCCTACATGGCCAGACACCATCTTTCTGTCTGCCAGGTCTTCACACAAGGACAAGTCCTATCCCTCACCTCCTGCTTGGGAGCCAGGACAGACACGCCAATGTGACCACATCTCTGGCACAAGTGATGGAGGAGATAGCTGACCCCCTCACTCTCCTACCAGCCATGCCTCACCACATCCCTCTCACTCTGGGCCAAGGCACACGAGGATGGAATAAAAGGATTGCAAACAGGGACTTAGAGATAGGAGGGAGCAGCAAAAGAAGCCTGCTCAGACATGAGGAGAAGGTGGAAAGGGGCAATCACTCACTGTCTCCTTCACCAGAAGAACCAAAGTATCAAATGATAGCAGGTGACAAAAGTGAAGTGAACAAAAGGTGATGTTTTTCCCCAGTGTGTAGCTGAACTCTGGGTCCCCCCCCACAGGAAAAGCTAACCGCACTTCAAAATGTAAATTCATGGAAGAAGGTTGTCTGAATTATTTAAATAAAAAGCACCACAAAGTGCTCAAATAAGTTTGCTGGCAACTAGGAAAACATTCTGGGGAAACAGCACTATGGGACCATCAGGCTGGCTCACTACAGCCATCCTTACATGAAGAGTACTTACCCAATTGTCTGCGATGGGATAGGGGAAGAAATCAGGAGAAAAACCCAAACTGTCAGTGCATCTATTTTTCACTGCCTACATGTGCAGTCTGAAGATCTCAATGGCTCTGAATCTGCCAAGGCTGTTGATATGGCCATCAGTTTTGTCCCTCAACAACCCACAGGAAGGCAATGCGTGCCCTTCAGCAGCATCCTAGCCAGAAATAATCCATGCTCTTGTCCATCTGAGACAGGACAACCCCAGCACATCCTCCATTCAGCTCTCTAAGGCTTTATTAAAGGCCACTTTGTAACAAGCACATATCTATTGTAGTCTCCGGGCTATCCTCACTGTAGCTCTCAGTTGAGTTTCATATCATATACTGGGTTTTGTCTACAACCCTCTGAATGCTGGGACCTGCTTATGGCAAATAGGGATCCTCCTTCCTGCAGGCACAGCTGCTCTTGTAGCTCTCACCAGGCTCCAGTTGGGAAGGAACTCTTTGCACTGAAACCCTTCCCTCCTCCTTTTTTTTTTTTTTTTAAATAAAACACATTTATTATTTACTTAGATTTCTGTATGCTGAGAAAGAAATCTGCCCTATGTAGACCCCCACAACCCTCCCTCTGCTGTACCGTGGCAGTGGACTACCCTTGCAAACAGAAATCTGAAGCAGGAGGAGAAGGGGAGGTGGAGCTGCGGCACCCCTGGTGCCCCAGAATTGTTGTGTGAGGCCTGAGCTGGTGCAGGGGGAACTGGGCAGGCTCCAGCTCCCAAACACAGCTCCTGCTGCACACAGGAGCTGCCATGGCCAGCAGCCAGCACAGCTCTTGCATCACAGCATTTGGGGTGCTTCGGTCCCTGTGCGTCTCGCTGTCGCTGATGCAGTGAAGGAGAAGAGACTGGCTTCTCAGCCAGCCAGGGCCAACCTGTTCAAGATATCCAAAGGACACGTTTCCTTTAAGAGGCCTCATTTGAAACATGCACTTTCTCTTTTATCCATTTCCATGCATACCTGTGCTTACTTTGCAAGACTACTTTTTGAACTAGATAAAAGCAGATAAAAGAACTCAATTAAAGTAGCAAGAATGAAACAGTCCCTTGCCAATACAAGCAGGCTAACTTGTCATCCTTAGCTCCTCACTGGGCCATATGTTTAAAAATGACAAGGAAAATGGTCTTCCTGTGTGAAAAACATATGCTGCTTGAGGAAAGACATCCTCATTGCTAAGAAATCTTGTGCAGCCTCAGAACGCATAGCCGGGCCATCCACAGTGACTGCTGGCTATGTGGGGGCTGAGAAAGGGGTGGGGAGAGCTCATTACCTCCCTCCTGCCAGGGGTTTTGGTAACATGCAACCAAGCCGCCCACAGCCGCGCTGGCAGCGCTCCTATCTGCACACGCAGCGCCTGGTGCTGCCTCCCTCGCCACCATCCCCAGGGGCAGCGGCACAAAGGTGGCCGTGGCGATTTGCAGGGGATGGCGCCCGGCACACTGGCACACTCTTATCAGTGAGCACACTGCCCAGCTCCGCGGGCAGCGGCTCCGCCCTGGGCTCGGCGCCCGCTCTGGGACCCTCCGTGAGGCCGCAGAGCAAATCCCCGGCTGGGTGTTTATGGGGAGCAGGCATTGTTTGGAATTCACATGTCCCCCCACCATCAATCCTTACAGGCACTGGCATGCCTGCAAAATCCAGTAGAGAATGAGGAAAGGAGAGCGGCGGCTCAGCCCCGCTGCCACCTGGCCGTGCCGAGGGGCTGGGCACAGCCGGGCTCTCACCTACCTTTGCCTGCGGGTGACCCTCCGGTGTGGGCAGGCAGCGCTGTTGGGGAGCACAACACTCGGCACAACTTTGTCAAACACACGCAGCTCACGACACGCTGCGCCGAAGCGCGTTTGCCATGTGCGGGGGCAGAGCCAGCGCTGCTGCCTCAGCACACGCTGCCCGGGATGTGCTGCGGAACCTCGGCACGGCCAGGGCTGCTGCAGGCCCTGTGTGACATGGAATTTGCAGCTGTGCTTCTGTGTGTCTTCAGATCCCCATTCAGATGGGGGAATGCGCTTTATGCTCTACACGATAAATACGTATTTCACTGAGCACCTGCACAGCAAGCCAGTCAGCACAGTTCCTTATCGGCACACTGATTTTCTGGCACGTGCAAGCAGAAGTCCTTGAAAAAGCCTCTTTTCAGGCTGGCTGGGAACCTCCAGGTGAACTCAAACATCACCTGTGTGGTGCCAGCAGTCAGGGGGGCCGGACCCCAGCCCACCCAGCCACGTGTACCCCTGCAACAACGTGGGGTTTCAGAGTTCTCAGCACGGAGGGCACAAACACTGCGGGCAGGGAGATGTGCAGTGCCTGGACACTGTGGCCAAGGTGGCTGCCGAGCCCTGGGGAGCCCTGTGCTGTCCCTGCACCTGGAGAGGGGACATCTGTGACAAACGGAGGACAGGAGCCTGCGCTTGCAGCCCTCTGAGTGATTGACAATAAAAACACTGCCCCGGTGCCCATTTTCAGATCTAGACAGCAAGAACTGAGGACTCCAGGGAAAATCCATGTTTTTACAGTTTGTGATATTATTGAGCTTTTCTGGTGCCAATTTTAAAACACTGCTATGACCTCTGGAAAGAAGGGAAACTGCATTTCAGCACGACAACGCAGAAAAGAACAAAAAAAGGAAACTTGTTATTTTTTTAAGCTTGAAACACTAGTCAGGTTAAGAGAAAGGAGCAGAATTCTGGCAAGGACAAGAGCACTCAGACTGAACCACGACACAGTAATTAGGGCCAGTAGGTCATTAGACACACAGCTGTATAAACTAGGTGTATAATTAAGTTTCCACACTGCTTTTTCACAACTGTATTTCAGTTTCTTTTGTGGAGGACAATCAGTAATTCATTAATTTAAAGATGTAACAACAGCAGCAGCAAAAAGAGAAAAATATCTGACTTGCCAATCAGATGCAACCAAGTATTACAATTTTGGGAAGGGCTCATTTTGGAAATGTATATATGACATCTCTCTTTGTCAGTGGGAAGTAAAAAGTGCCACCTGACAAAAACATTCATGAGACATCGTCACTTGTTGACAAGCTGCTGTAGATGGTTTCTGGATAAGCATCCCGCAAATAGGGTTGCATGGCAATTATAATTATTGTAGCAGGTGAAATATAAGAAAATGCAAAATTATACACTAGCATGAAACAGTTACAGTACCTCGTTTCAAACGTAAGCCTAGTGTACAAGTTACAGGGCATTTAAAAGGAGCAACTGCAAGACTTTAATTATAAACTAGTTCCTACCGTACAGTAGTTTAGAAAAATCAGCTGCTTCCAAGCTGGCAATATCCATATATAGCTCTGCTGCTGTTTGAAACAGACAACCTGTAAAGTTATCAACAACAGAAGAGGACCTCATGAAATGCTCAGAGACCCAGCCAAAACCTACTTCTGTCCACTTCATTGATGTGCTAATTTGCTTTAAAACCCTCTATATTCACTTGAGAATCTGAAGAAACAACTTTACCTGAGACTATTCCGACCCATGGGAGGAAAGGGGTGAAGGAAGAAAAAAAAAAAGCACAATAAAATGCTGGAGCTAAACCCAGACTAATGCAGGTGGGTTAAACACACAAGCCAAATGACAAAGCTTGTGACTTTTTAGCCACTTTTTGTCAGACAACAAGACACCTGGCACCAGGCACAGACAATGATATATCACAGAATAGTTGCTTGATGTAGGGAGCCTCTGGGGCTTGTTGTGGGACACAGTAAGTTGTAAATCCACATGTAGTTCTTTACTCTTGTCACTAACACTGTAAGACAGCATCATGCTACACCTACACTGTAACAGCAGCATGCAAAAACACATGGCTTTTTTTTGCTGCACATGATGACAATGGCAATTACTTAGTCCTCACTAGTTTAGAGGATATGGGATACCAGTGAATTTTAAAGTAATTTTAAAAGCTTAACACATCCAGTGTATACACTAGGTGTTTTTCTTTGTTCTCAGAGTATTTTTCAAGATGCTACTGTTTCCAGGACTGCTGCAGGAGCACTCTTTTGTGGGGGCAAGCTGGGAAACAAGGGAAGGCATAAGCCAGTAAGGAAATGTGATGTTCCTTTGGTACAAGCTGCCCCCATTTAGGCCTTTTTCAGATCCCCATAGACACTGGGAACCTACAACCTGCAAGCACAGACATCAGTCATGAGCAAAAGGTATAAAAGGCACCTAATTCTGTCAGAAGGAGAACATCTCTACTACACTGACATCAAAAGGAATGCTGTGCACCTATGCTACCAGAGATGTCTAGATTTCATCAGTGTTTTGTCCTCAAAGAAACAAGTCTGAAATACATGAAAAAGCAAGGAGGGGAATGGCTGTTTGTTACTTCCTTACATGTCAAAGCAGCTGCGTTCAAACTGTATTATAACTTCAGCACACTGTAATGAATTTCTAAGGGATTCCAGTGAAATAGATGGTTTATCCTGTTCTTTGGAGTGATCTCTTGTAATCCTGCAACGCTCCTGAGCTACAATACCTTCCTAACTTCAGTATCCCAAAGGAAGTCATTAGTTATGTTGTATTATCGGCCTGGTGATATTATCACTACAAATATTACCTGTATTGATCTGGAGCCATATAGACATGACTGAAAGCCCTGCTTCAGATTAAGACATGAAAATCTTGCTTGCCAAGAGGTCAGGCACTGCATTACACCCCCAGGTGTGTCAGGCAGGTGTCACAGGGAAAATGAGTGCAGGGTAACTAAGGACACAGGCAAATAACTCTTTTTTTAGGCTAAAATCTTTAAATATTACACACTTCCTAATGCGGTCTTAGGTTTTCACCCAGGTGGTGCAAGTCTTTTTAGATGAATTGAACAAAGATACACATTTTGCATGCTTTCCTCAAAAAATCTCATGCCATGTATCAAACTGCTGTATCTGAAAGGGTTGTTTTTTCCACAAGGTAAAGTATGTGAATATCAGGAAATATTCCACATTGTCTTCATGGAAACATTCTCATTCCAAAATATATGAGTGCAATCTTCCTATTTACTTTAAATCACTTCAGGCCACCAGATTAAACTAAATAGAAAACAGACACTCTTGTTCTGGAGCAAGGATTATCCTCACATGGAGACAATTAGCACTTATTTCATGTATATGCAGATAGTTATATGGTGCCTTTTTGGGACAAAATGTCTTTGGAAATCATCTGCTCATGTGAAGACAGTAAAAGAAGACAAAATTATGCTACCTGCAATCAAGAATAGCAATGGGAATACTGACAAATCATTTTGATATATCCCTAAAAATATAATTAATTTTTCTTAGTTTCACTAAGAGAATACTACACTGAGAATAAAAAAAAAAACCCGAGGTGTGAAAACACTGACTGAATTTACATGAATTTTACATTTTTCTCTAGGTTGCTATGTTTTAATGCAGATTTGCCTCTGGAAAAAAATTGCTCCTTTTCATAGCACTGCTGTCACCTGTCATAACCTTACTTTCCTGCTCTGGAGTCCTCGTCAGCAGTGCCCGCTCCCCTCTGCCAGTTGTGCCATTACAGCTGTTTGGGGACCACACAGGGAACCAGACCCAAGCAGAATTTGGGCTAAAAAGAGCCTCCTTTTGTGGGGCTTACTCCCAGCACCATAAGCAGCTGTCCCAGCACAACTGAGGAGAACGGGCAGTGATGGAGCAGCGGCCGCCCAGGGCGCTTCTTCCTTGGAAAGGACCGATGCACATGGGCTGTGCACTTCACCTTCCAGTTTGGAAAACAAGGGGTTTTCTGTATAGAAAGTTACATTTTCTTGCTTACTCCCCTGCAGCAGACTGCCATGTGCAGAAGTCTCAGGCCAGTGCCACGGTTGTCAGCTGGCTGGGAAATTACCCTGCAAGAAGTGGCCTTTCGATTTTACGCACTTTCAAGTTTGCAGCCTGTGCAGGGCTTAAATGAGAGTGCAGAGCAAGGAGCCCCGGGGGCAGGCTTAGGACTGCAATCCCTATCCAACTGCAAGCATGGGAAAAGCCCCAACATCCCTCTGTCCTTCCTCCCAGCAAGCAGATGGGAACAAGAGCAGGGAGGCCTCCCCTCTGCAAGCCAGAGTGAGACAAGGGAGGGTGCTCTTGGGGTGGGAGGTAGACGAAGACAAAGCCTCCACCTGACCCTCCCTCCCTTGCTGTATTCCATCCCCTGTATTTTTTCTTCGCTGAGCATCATTTTACTTATGCCCAAAAAGGAGAGCAGAAAACATAGACTAATTACAAAACAAATTAAGTGGCCAGGAGGAATATGCACTCAGGGGAAAGATGATGGGATACTGCTGCACCAGAGGAGAAACTAACCCTTCTGCTTTCTGCCAGCCTTGACCTACCCGTCTGCCATAACAGCAACAGCCTAAAAATAATTTAGATGAGTGTGGAGGAAGACATGATGGCAGAGTATTCAACTCTGGGAAGGTGAAAGATAAGAATCCCTGATTTAAATACATATGAACATATTCTGTGCTCCCCCTCCTAAGATTTTATTTAGTCTTTGGTAAAATCTGCAAAGCTTTTTCCTACCCCTGTAAATCGGCTTAGCGTGCTTGGCTGAGTACCTGCTGCTACCGCCGGCCATGCAGAGGAAGCCCTGGAAAAGCAAGGTATGTTGCAATTGTTCACACCAGTGGTCTGAGCTTGTTCTTACTTTACAGAAAGTAAAATCAAGATCAGCGTAGGCTGATGCCATCCTCACTTCCATAAAATTCAAAAGGCAATGTAATAATAACCTAGGGAGAATGCTGTATTTTTAGGGTGGGATTACAGCACTCGCACTATGAATTTTAATCTCATCATGTTCTTTTAGGGGGTTCAGAGACCTTTTTTCCTGGGAGTTTTGCACACTTCAGTCATTTAACTTTTTTAATCTTCCTACATTTGGAGAGAGAGGGAGAAATACCTGCCTGAAACTTTTAGCATTAAAAAACTCCACAACATTTTTGTCTAACGTAATTACTGACAGATTCCAATTGGAAAGCTGTTGCTTTTATTTTAATTTTGTTAAAGGAGTGAACAAAGGCTGCCCAAGGCACCACAATAAAATTACATTAACTGTAAAATTACATTATTAATTCTTTAATCTCACTTGAGGCCTCAAGCTGTTGCTATGTCCAATTACCCAGCTAACCACCTGTCAGAACTGTAAAGCTAGTTTAACATTACCTCCAGGACAGTTGTGTGCCCTGTGTTCAGTCAGGTCTGCCAGTGAATCGAAGTCCTGCTGACAGTTATCGCAGGTGTAAATTGACTCATCCTCCATGTCTTCATCTTCCTCATTTCTCTCTTCCTGGCTCGTCACACTGTTCCTCTCTTCCAGGGCCTGGCTGTCCTTCACTTCGCTCTCCAGCTCTCCTCCCAGGCCACCTGCCAACAGCAAGAACATCCTCTAAGTTTGAGAGGTCTGAAAAATAAGAGCTTTAAGAAGGATGTTGTGCTTATTAAGATACATTTAATTACAGCCTCTCTCACATTATTCCCGACACCTTTCATTATATTAATGTGGTTTTTATATCATGTGGTGCAACAATTCTCAACTGTATTCTCTGCTGCTTAGTGCGAATCCTGCAAACACTCTCTCCTAATCTTCTCTGGTGGGTGTATAGCAGGAGCCTCTGTCATATAAAGTTGTTAGTGTTTTATCACTTAACCAGATTCTCAAAGCTTTAAAAATTGGCAAGATTAATTACAGCCCGCAAAGAAAAGGCATGTGCTGAATTTTAATTCTCAGTGCTCTCCTCTTCCCACCGCCCCCAAGCCCCAATATTAGTAACAACAAGTGAAAAAAATGCTCTAGCTGAATATCCCAAAGCACACACGTACCCCAGGACATGAGAGGTCTTGCTGAACTAATGAGAGGCACTTGGTTGGGCAGATGAGCCTGACATTGTGCTGACCTAGCTGAGAGCAGACACAGCACATCTGACCTTCAGGTCTCTCCGATATTTTTTATCTTGGTCTGTGGCCGGAGTGAGGGCTAGCACATACATCTTTGCCAACCCCCACGAGTTTTTATCTGCATTTGTGCACAGGGAGACCAAGTTCTCTGACAGTTCCAGAAACTCCCCAGTGTGGGGGCCAAACACCCCAGGGCTGTGCAGGTGGCAGCTCCACACAAGGAGCAGCTGGCTCTCCACTGGCCATGGGGTGGGTGGCAGGACAGCTGCTCACTCCCCCCAGGACATCCTCAGTGGCCTTTGTGAGGGATAAGCTTGCAGCCACATCCTCCCACCTCCAGGACACCCCCTTGGCCACAGTGGAAACCCAGGTGTGCCTGAAGCCAGTCCATGCAGCACTGCAGCCAACTCTTGCTTGGGGTCTTTGGAGAGGCCACAGAGATGAAAATTCCCTTCTAAGTCCCTGCTGCCCTCTCAGCAGGGAAAGCACCCATTAGGCACACTAGCCCTGGTGCCCAGGCTTTGGTGACCAGCTGAAACAGCTGCCTCCACCTCTTCTGCTCACAGGTTCCCCAACAGAGGTGATACAGCTCCAGGTGCTATACCTGCACTATTTCACCTGCCTCCACAAGCACTCGTGCTCTTAGGACACCCTGTCAGTATGATAGGAACCCTTGGGAAGTCATTCAGAAAGTGAAACAGAACCACAGACTCTGCCAGCAAAAGAGATCCTCGCACACTGCCTGACCCCTAAAGCCCAGGAGCTGCTCTCACCCAGGGAGGAGGGAGATGCCACCTAGTTGGTTTGGGATGTATTTGGGTTTTAGCCATTAAGGAAGGACCAGCAAACAGATTAATTGTTTCTAAAATCAGATCAGCGCCAAAAAGATTAAGGATAACCAATGCTGAGAACATGAAACAAAGCTGAAAATAAAATTTATTGAAGATGAAAACTGGTTACCACAAGGACTGCAATTCAGACACACATTACTAGAGCTCTGCTACCACTATCCAGACAGAGCACATTTCATACCATCTTCTGCTCTGTGCATGGTAACATAAATCAACCGGTGTAAAACACTCTGCAGCTTTCCATGGAGCTCTCGTAACACGACGTACAAATGGGATATTTCCATTCCAATTGCAATGGAAATATTAAAAATCAGTGCCTGCGTTGGTGTGTCACAGCCTCCCTCTTAGCAGTTAACTGATCTGCACATTTTCAGTTTCTTTTACTGCTAAATTATACATACCTTTCTACTACAAAATTTCCATTAAGGGCAAGATATAATATTCATCTTAAAAATCAGATATGCCACTTACACAGCAGTAATGAATTTAAGGATTTAGTTATAAAAAGTATCACTCACTAAGCACTCCATATTGTAAGTCATCATCTATACTATGTTTATTCAATAATATGCCACTAGCTGAACCTCATGCTTTATAGCATCTTCCTTAAATAAAAATGTCTTGTAATGAAAAAAACACACAATTCTGGTTCTCTTCTATTACTACTTCACCAAATAATAAGTCACTTTTGTACCTATGCTAGCTTTGCTTTATTTCACACATCATTTAATGCATATATTCAAATTATCACTTACATTTTGTCATATTTACTTGGCACACCTTTATACAGTGTCTCATTCCAGACTGCAATCACAAACATTTTAGCTCATTCAATCTTTTTAAAGCCTATGTCCTGCAGACTTGATAGTTAATAAATCGAATGTTAGCTCTCCAGTTTCATGGCAGAAACCTAAAAAAAGAGTCCAAGTATATAAATGTAAGCTAAAGAATTGGCACCTGCATCCATGCTGCCTGCTGACAAAGGGCTCGGGGAAGCACTTCTGAACCGACATCACCACAACCTGAAGAAGAAAGCTTTCAGGCAACTTTGGGGAGCTTTAAGGGACCTTCACTAATATTTTTAGCAGAAATGCTGTCTTTTGAGAGTTAACCTAAAGACCAGTTGATCTGGTGAGTACACTGTGACAAATTCATCCTTGGTTTTACTCCAATACTTCGTGACTACACCAGGGATAAAGCTGCTCGACCGAGTCCAACAATAACAAATAATTTAGCACACTGCTTTAGGAAAAATAAATTGTACAATGTGAGATAAGAAAATAGATTCCCCACTGCAAAGCAAAATTCCAGAAACATTTTTTAATTCCCTATTGAATGGGAAATCTGATCCTCTAGGCAACTTCTCAAAAACGTCGTTACTTGACAGAGTTGTATGTCAAATAACACAAGAGTGAAGCTTGCAGAAATTATTTAGCAAATGCAACACTGCTTTACAATGGGATTTTTTTGCTGGTTTTGGTGAGTTGAAGGAATTGTACATGTCTGCCACACCTCGATGTTACTGTCTATCAAACAAAATGGTCTTCAGATTCCTCTGCTGAGAGCTGCACACTTTGTGCTTGCCTCGTGAATACCAAACACTGCTGAGAAGAATCTGCGCTGTTCCTTGGGGTTTAACCACAGGCTGCCAGCAGGGTGTGAGGGGTGCGGGCGGCCCTGGGGAGACACTCACTCCTTGCCCAGGGGAGCAAAACAAGCAGGGCAGTGATGGGAATGGGTGGTCCAGCCAGCAAGGAAAGCTTCAAACGCAGCCCAGCTGCTCCCGCAATGAGCTCAGTTTCCCTGATGAGGACAGCAGGCCACGAGCATTCCTCGGGAACTCGTTTCTGCAGAGCTCTGCTGTAGCAGTTCACAAATTTAACCTGCAATTTTCCTGCTGGCAAGAACTGCAGGAGCACCTCGTCTGTGGGTGCAAGCACACTGCCAGAGGGGCTGGGGTCACCACAGGAGGCCAAGGTGCTGCTGGCACCACGAGCAGGGGTGGCTTTGGAGCTGGGCCTGGCTCTGAGGGGACACGTCTGCACTCCACCAAGCAAAGGGGCTTCTTTGAGCCAACAGGACCTTTTGCAGTTTCCAAAGATCAGTGGCTGCCTTGTGACATCAAGCACAGATACATTTACTGCCACAGCTAATTTTTAAGATTCCATTTTTAAGCCTTGGATTTTAGTAAGCTTAATTCAAAAGCAAGTAGTTTCTACCTAGATTGCTAAAAAAATTTGTAGTAATCACAGTTACCAATCTGGAGGAATTTCTGCACCAAACACCACTGTGAGGAGAGCACAGCACCACAGGCACAGAGCTCACACTGGTGTGGTGTGCTCAGCACAAGGCTGGGGGCAAATGCCAGCAGAAGGGAACTGCTGGCAGCATCAGGATACATGATCAGGATAAATGATCACTGATCAGTTCCAAAGAGGGGTTGACACTTTGGTATTATGAGTAATTTTTAAGTGACCCTGCCACATCTAATGATGGTTTAAAAATCTTCTTTTATGAGTAAGAGAAGATACAATTTGAGAGGTCAGTCTTAAAAGTATACCTCACCGCCCAAAATGTCAGGAAATTGGGTGGGGGGGCTTTTTTGTTTTTATTTTATTTTATTTTTTGCCCCCCCTTTTTTTCCCCTGTAGCACAGTGGAAGGTCTGCAGGGCTTTACACAAGAAGAATATTTTACCCTATGACCTAAACAATCTGGCCAACAGTCAGGAATATGTTATTCTAATTGCCACTAAACTTAATGTTGTTAATGACTCTTGTTTTTTTCTATACAAGCCAACTTATGCTCTAGAAAGTTACTATTTCAAAGGAGACACTGGGAGTGTTCCTGCCTGACCTGGTGGTCCAAGGAATGTGGCAAACTTGGCAAAGATGAAAAAGTGAATTCCCAAAGGCCTAGTTTGAAAGTTGCAGTCAGTAGAAATGCCTTCTGAGCTGTGTTCAAAACAGCTCTGTTACAGGAACAACGCACTCCTAAAGCCAAATATTTGGAAACAGATTACATGTACCATATTCAGCTTGGGCCTCGCTCAAGTCAAGAGCAGATTTCCCTTGCTTCAGTCAGCCTGGGACAGACGGCCCTGCCACCAGGCTGGGATTGTGCTTGGAGCTTAGCATGGCACAGCCTCAGCCCAGCCATGAAAGCCACAGCAAACAGCTTTGGGGACTTCAGTTAGTGAGGCAGGACTGAAGGCAGGGCAAAGACAGAGCCATACTGGAAAGATGATGGTGCCTACCTACAATTTCCACTGAAATACTTGGAAGTGGGTAATACCTTGCAACACATGGGCCAGAAAAACTGAAAAGAAAACAACATCAGCTTATTTTTTCATGTATGGAATCAATTATGGACAGTTTAAATTTTTTATTCCGTCAACACAATACAGGATAGGCAAGCTCTTTTATCTTTTTGCCAATAAATTTTCTGGGGCTTTTTGTTTAATTTTTTTTTAAGTGTGTCGACTTTTTGAAGCTGAGATTTATTTCAAATTTAGGGCTGCTCTTAGGAACACGCTATTTAGTGCAGGGTCATGCCTGGCTTTAAATAGGTCCAATGAGGCTTCCATGAAGAGTTGCTTCTTTTCAGCAGGCACACACTG